TAAGCTAGGAGAGTAAAGGTGCGGAGAACTCTTGAAATTGGTGGTAAACCTATGTGAAGCACGGGTGGAACTTCTTCCACAAGATCCAAACGATTCCAAAACAAAAGTGCCAAGTATGCTTATTAAATAACTTTCCCCCAAGCTTATTTAACACAAAATAACAAAAACAGGGAGAACAACAATAACAAAACCCCTTCTTTTTTTGTGCTTTACATTCTTCTTTACTTTTTTTTTTCAATAATTCCTTTTTCCAAGCTTTTTCTTTTTTTTTTTTTTTTTTTTTTTTTTTAAATGTCCTTGCCTCTTTTAACTTTGGACGGCTTTTTCTCAAAATGTATTTGGTTTTATGCAAAAAAATTATATACAACACATACTTGCTTTGCAAATGAACTTATAATTCTAAACTTGCACCATAAACAATAAAACAAGCTCCAAAACAAAATTGCTTCACAAACTAAAGGTAGGATTTAAAGTGAAACTAAGGCTGGAAGGCTTGTATTAAGGTTAGAGAAAAGAATGTATATGGCTCAAATGGGCTAGTAATAGGGGCAATTGCAAACCAAATCCAAAATTGAAAATTAATCCTATAAAAAGAGAAATGTCTTTGTCATCCCCTAAAGTGGCTCAGTCGCGATCATGGGAGCTAAAAGTCAAGTTCTAGATACGAGAATGCAATAGCCAAGGATCCAAATATGCCGCTCAACAAAGTATGATGAAGGCTAGAACAATTATACATCACTAGGGATAGCAATAACTAACTCTTGATTTCATATCCACTATAGAGAGCAACTCCATCTTACCACAAGCAAGTGAACTAGAGCTTCATGGTCCCAAAGTTCTTAGCCAACTACCTTAGCATACCATATCCTAGGGTCAACCTAACACATTCTCAAACCGTGCACACCTCTAAAATTTAGGAAGAAAGACATTCAAGAATACAAGTCCAAAAGTATTATGTCCAAAGCAAGAACAAAAGAAAACACATTGCAAATTTGCCTTGATAGAAACAAAATCTTTTTGGAATTTTCAAAATAAAGAAAATGGAAATGCATATACAAATGTGCATGGCATATATGAATCAAAATTCCACCAAACATGATAGAATACCCTCCCCCAAGCTTGAATGAGGCAACATGCTCAAACTTTAAACCAAAGAATCCATGGGAGGAGAAAAGAAAGAAAGTCATCCAACCAACCAACATATGTCCAACAAGTCACAAATCATTAGAGGAAGAGCAAGGAAGGATAATACCGGATTTTAGGTGGGTGTATATACCCGCAAATGACCCAATTAAAATTTTCAAAGCCACTCTTCTCAAGAATTGAATCTTGTTTTCCATATGATAGCAATTGTGGTGCCAAACTTCCTTGATTCTTGATCCAAATCAATGCACCAAAGTATATCAAGTTATGTACCTAGAAAAAGGCACACAAACATTTCCATGAGAGAAAATCTATTCTAAAAAGAAAAGAAAATGAAAGCAATAAAACACGGGTTACTTCCCGAGAAAGGCTTGCTTAAGGTCCAAGCTTGACCGCTCTAGTAAATAATATTGCAACGATCGCAAGAGCTTGTCAAATGCACTACTACACATCTCATAAGATAACAAGTAAGCAAATGATATAAGAAGGGCATGCACCAAGATTAGTGCACGCAAAAGAAGGTGAAGAGGGAGTTTCCAAGAAGAAGAAGAATCAAAAGAAAATTCAAGAAAATAAGAAGAAGAATAGAAAGGCAAACTCTCTTCACAAAAATCTTTTTGGGTGGAAAAATCACCCTTTTCCTCAATTGAAGACGAATGAGGGACATAAAAATCTTCATAGGCAAGGGGGTCCCCAATAGGCTCATTAACAAAGGACGGAAGGGATATAGGAGTGTAGGGGATATGGTTGAAATTCCTTGAAAAAGGGACATGAGAGAAGGGGATAGGAGCAATGGTCTTACAAATGGTCTCTTCTTCACCACCATTCCTCAAATCACCAATTTGAGCATGAAAATCAATCATAGAATCCTCAAAAGAAGAACACTCATGATCATGATCTCCCTCAAACATCCAACTTCCAAGAGGAACTACATAATCCCCTTCACTACAATCATGAACAACAACTCCCTTAACTTCCTTAAAGCCTAAAATCTCAAAGCCATGCATGAATGGATGCAAATTCATTTCAAAATGGTCTCTCTCCCATGAAGCATTCTTAATGAACTCACTCAAAAGGCTATGGGTTTTCATTTGACACTCAATAAACACATTAGACATAACCTTAAATGAATCCAAATACTCATGGATAAAAGGATCACAATCATGCACTTGAGACTCATCAAGATGGGAAAAAGGGTTAGGATTTTCAAAATCAACACTCTCTTCATTCTCAACTCCTTCACCATCACTCATATGCTCACCAATGGGATCCTCACACTCTCTTGGTTGCTCAAAATCATCATCATCATCCTCAACACACACATTAAATTGGGATTTTTCACAAACAAGCATCAAGGGTGACAATTGGCTTTCTAACTCTTCTTTTCTTCTCCTTCCCTCCTCAAGACGCTCCTCATTCTTTTTCATTATCTCTAATTGACCTCTCATAGAATTAAGAATCATTTCCTTACTAGGCCCAAGCTCATTATCAAGCTCAATGCACCTAATTTGAGATTCAAAAGTAGCAATAAGGGATTCAAAAGGTATTGAAGGTTGAGGCTCAACAAGAGAAGAAGAAGTACAACCAAGATTGGAAAAATCAACATTAAGATCATGAGCATATACATCACATTGGGGAGTGGGGGCACAATCAAACACATGAGATTCATCATTAAGGGAACGAAGCACATCACAAGAAGGCATGGTAAATAATGAAGAATATTGAAACACACCATTAGCATCAACTTGAGCATGCACCTCATCATCATGAACAAAAGAGGAAATAGAGTTGAAATCATGTGTTTTAGGCTCACTTAAGGGATCATGTAACAAATCATGGGAATTCATGCTAATATTAGAAGTATCAACACATTGCATATCAATAATAGAATCATGATTACCCTTATTATAGACATCCCAAGCAAACCAAACATAAAAATCCCAAGCATCATCAATTGATAATGCTCTAAATTCACCATTATGCATGCATTCAACTTCATCCCTAGTTTGCTCATTCAAACCAAAATAACAAATCTCACAAGCCTCCCAAAGACTACAACAATAAAAATCCAAATATCCCTCAAGTCTATTGAAATATTCACAAAAAGGCTCATTGTCATATTGAGGAAACGAGTTACTTGCCATTTTTTTTTTTTTACAAAAACAAGAAAAAATAAAAAAAAAATAAAATAAAATAAAAAGAAAAGTATACACAAAGACCTAGACTCAAGCAATCAAAAACAATCAAGCATTGACACCGTTCCCCGGCAACGGCGCCATTTTGACGGGCGTTAGAACGGTCGCACATTCCACACTCAATCAAATAAATTTATAAATCCTAAAACTAACCCCTAAACAAGTCTAGTGGTAAGTTCGGAGTCGAACCACAAGGAACGGTAATGTTGGATTGTTCTCGATCTAATGCTTAAGCTACGCCGAAATCGGTTTATGGATAGTGGACACTACAACTACACTAAAACACATATAAAGAACAAGGTATGATAAAGTCTACTAGGGGAAAAGATCCACTTAGAACAATTAATAAGCTAATGAGAATCCATTTGATAATCAATCATGCAAAGAAAGAATTATAATGAGAATTAACTACACTCAAAAGTAATCTCTCAAATTCCTAGCCTAGATCCCTCATTGACTAGGTGCATAGAAGAAAATTACCCAAAATGCAATCAAATATATCAATTCTAATTCACAATCCCTTGTCAAACTAGAACTAACATGCAATTAAGTGTGCTATCATGGGAGATCAATCCAATCTAAAACAAACAACATGCCAACATCAATTCAATCAATTTAATCACACAATTATCATCAAATTTATCTCAAATAACTCAATTAACCATAACAAAGCTTCACTCAACACCTAGTAGAAGGAAATCTACTCAAACATGATTAACAAAGCAATTAATAAAGCATAAAGAGAGAAGAGAGTAAGAAATGCTCATTGATATAAAATGGAGATCTTCAAATCATCAAATTCCTCCTTTGATTATCCAAAATCCATGAAAACCATTGTGCTCCTCACTTTCTCTCTCCAAAATTTGAGAGTTTCTCTCTCTAAAACCTAAAACTAACCTAAAAACTATTCTAAACTGAAAAATCTCTCTTTTCTTTAATGAGTAAAAAATCTATTTATACCCTTTACAAAATTGCTTAGGAAGCTCCGCAAAAAGTCAGTTGAAACGGGAAAAGGTCCGACCGAACTCTGTGTAGGTTCGGTCGGACTCAGGGTAGGTTCGGTCGAACCTCCCTGATCCTTGTTTGGTCGAACTTTCCTGGTTCGACCCCTCCTGTAAACATGCTGAAAACTTGGTTGAAACTGCCTTGGAGGTTCGGTCGAACTTTTCAAAAGTTTGACCACACCTAGGTTCGACCGAACCTCTTAGAGGTGTGGTCACACCTCCTCTTGAACTTCCTCTTCTTGCTTCCTCTTCTTCCCTTTTGCTCCTCTTGTCTTTGTCCATGCCTCCATACTTGGCCAAGGGGCCTCCTACCGTGCTTAGGACCGTCATGGAACCTGCAAAAGATAGCAAAGATCACGAGAGCATGGGGATGATAAAATTATGCATAAAGATTATCAAAACAAGCGCAAATAAGCATACTTTTCATCCATAAAAGAAAAGGAAGCCATAAGAGGAGAAAAGAGGTAGAAAACCTAAGAAAAACAGGAGAAAAGAGACCAATACACTACCCCTAAGGGTAACATAAATGTCACTCATCACCATACAGTGATGAGATGGCAACAGACATCATTCTCCACTCACTTTGAGAAAGTTTTTACCAGTTTATCATGAATTTTAACATGACTGCGAGTGCAAGGCTATGAATCAATTGCACGCAATGCTGGTTAGTGCTGAAAAGCAAATCCCTAAGAAACCTAAAAAAGAAGTTCTTATTATTCATAAGGGAAAGGGGTTCAAAAATAAGGGGAAAAAGGCTTATGCCAAGAGCAAGGGAAAGCAAGTTGCCAAGGCTCCTGAGAAGCCTAAGGCGAGTCCAAAACCCAAGGCTGCAAGCGAAAGTGAATGCTTTTACTGTAAGAAGAAGGGGCATTGGAAACGCAATTGCCAGAAATACCTTGACTTCCTTAAGAAGAATAGAGCATCAACCTCAGGTTTATGTCATAAACATTTTAACTTTCACTTAGGTATGTGATACCAAGTTGCATTGCTTAACATTATCAATGTTGTGCAGGAATTGCAAGTAAGTGAGGCTAGCATGGAAATGGAGCTTGAAGGTGCACTAGAAGTATTTGTGTGGCCAGAAATAGCTTCATAGTTTTATTTTTAGATCAGTTTATCATGATTTTAGAAAGATTTCCAATATCTGATGAGATAATATTTTGGTTTTCTGTTTTGAATACCTTGGTTTTTACTTGGCTTGGACAAGTGTTGATCCATGACCAAGGTAATAAATTGTTTTCAGTTTGCTAGATATGAGTTATTTTTCTGTATGACATTGATAAAAGTAGATCACAAAAGCAATTTAGATGATTCAAAGATAAACTTACTTGTAACAAAGTGAGGTTAGGTCACATAAACCATTTGCGCATCCAAAGTTACATTGGATGGACTCTTATTCTAAATTGATTATGAATCATTTGAGAATTAGAAGTTATGCTTGATAAGGTAAGATGACCAAGTTGCTTTTTAGTTGAAAGGGTAAAAGAGCTAATGACCTTTTGGGACATAGACATATGATGTATGTGGACCAAAAGTTCAAGAATTAGCAAAGAGATTTAAATATTTCATTGCTTTTACTAACGATTTAAGTAACTATATCGATAATTACTTAATGGAGTAAAGCATGGAATCATTGAAATGTTCAAAATTCCAAAATGAAATGTAAAATTAGTTTGACTTGAATAATTAGCACCACAATATGATTGTTTTGTTAAATATTTAACTCAAAAGAGATGACCATCTAAAAGGGAATTGTCGAATTAGTTCACAATCCAGAAACATTACAATTAAAATGTATGTTTAAAGAAGGAATCAAACTTTTCTTTCCATGGTTCTATCCTAGCTTAGCTTTAATGATTTACAGATATCGTTTGAAGGACATATATTACAACAACAATTGCGAATATACTAAATAGAAAACTTAACTAAAGCAGTAGAAAAGATGTCATAAGAGTTATGATTTGGAAATGTTCCAAAAGTTATCTTTTCAAAACAAGATAAAGGTTTATAAAATCAATGTAAAATGTTTACAAAAATGACATAATAGACCCTTAATCAACATAAATAGTTCTTCATGGGTTATCCCATGGAAACTAAGAGGTATTATTCCTACAATTGCGTAAATAACAAAGTGTTTGTTGCTGATCGCGATAGTGTCTTTATAGAAAGAAAGCTCTTCCTACAAAGCCAAGCGGGAGTAAAGTTAGATCTCGATAAGATTCGAGACGAGCAACAAATGGATGTGGATAACACTACATCAGAGACAAAGGCATATGAAATAAGCTAATTTGATAAACCATGTGTCGAAGCAAGCTAATTCCACTAGCAAGGCTTCTATCGTCCCAACTTGAATGAAAGGCTTCAAAGAGTTGAAGAGAATAATTCTATTGTTGCTCATACCTATTGTAGGTCACTTCGGATAAAAACAAACAGTTTGTTGAAATTCTGAGAAAAGGTGGATTCTAAAATTTTTCTATTGGAATGGTTAGAACCCACAACCTACAAGCAAGCTTTGGATAAGTGTCAACTTAAGAAATGGCTTAAAGCCATAAAATCCAGAATGGACTTCATGTCTGTAAAGATTTGCTAGTCAATGATAGTCTTACAAATGGGGTAAACCTATTAGTTGCATAAGCCTATTCAAATCCTTCTAGTGATTGCTGATTTTGTTTACGAAGTTCAGCATTGGATGTCAAAATCACCTTCTTGAAATGTTCATGATGGATGGTATGTATATGATACAACCTAAGAATTTTGAAATCTAGAAATCCTAGAAAGTTTTGAAAACTTCATAAATTCATTTAATGGATTGAAGTAAGCATCAGGGAGTTAGAACATTCATTTCGATTAAGCAATCAAACAGCTTGATTTTCTCAAAGAACGATAAGGAATCTTGTAGAGACAAGAAGTTTAGTGGGAGCAATTGGTATTCTTGGTCATGTACGTAGATGACATACAGTTCATATGAAATGACATATCAATGCTTGAATTAGTCAAGCAATGGTTAGAAAGTTGTTTCCATATGATAGACTTAGGAGATGTTGAGTACATATTGGGAATCAAGATCCACGAAGTGAATCTTGGAGAATGATTGGACAACATTGAGAGACTTATGTTGATAAGGTTCTTGACAAGTTCATGAAATAAGACTCTAAGAGAGGATATCTTCCCATGTTTCATGGTGTTACGCTCAGTAAAACTCAGTGCTTTCAAAAGTTAGTAGAGTTGATTTGTATGGATAGTGTACCTCTTGCTTTTGCAAAAGGTTCCTTTATATGTGTCATGATATGTACTAAGCAAGATGTTACATATGACTTGTGCATGTGTAGTAAATTTCAAGTAAATTCAGAATAAGCATATTGAAAGTTGCCTAGAGCAAATCCTTGAGTACTTGAGAAGGACTAAAGGAATACTCCTAGTTTATAGTGTTAAAAGTGAATAAGTTGTCAAAAAGGTTATACGAATGCAAGTTTTTCAAACAGGCAAGATGTTTTTAGATGTTGATCTAGATGCATACTTGTGTCTTAATGGAGTAGAACAGTAAGCTTGAAGAGTTCAAAGCAGAATACTGTCGCATACTCAATGTCAAAATATGTGTATTTGGCTGCAGTAAGAGTAGTTAAGGAGGAAGTTTGGTTCAAATTGTCCTATGACTAAAAGGACACCTTTGCCAAAACAAAGGAGCCAGGGTCACATCACAAATCCAAACAAATAAATATGAGATATAACCTCATTTATGAGATCAATGACAAGCGGGATGTTGTGATCTGCAAAGTTTTATTATAAGTGAGAAATCACTAAACCCCTTCCATAGACTAAGATATGAGAGTCGTATTAAAGATTTGGATTGTAGCAAATGATACTTATTCAAATTGTATATGTTTTGAGAAAACATATTACATAAGGACTGCATACATTTGCAGAATTATGTTTAAAATAGAAATTTCATTTATCTTATTTAATTATGGTTTTTGGAAATTAAATAAAATGTCTAAAATAATTATGAATTGATGGGCTCATCAGGTTGATGACCTGGTAAATGAAACCCCACAGGTGAAAAAAATTCATATATTATTTAAAGTTCCTAGTTTAAAATCATTAAAGTGGACATAAATGAATTCAATAAATGGACTAGCATGTAAGATTGATTGGATAGCGCAGTTTCATGGGCTATAAGGGCATAGTGATGCTCATTCAATCACTTGGATATGCATGAATGATGCATGATTGAACTAATGACCTACTTTGAAGTTCAAGTATAGAGCTTCCGGATATATTAGTGGATTCCTTTGACATGAGTGGAACATTGATTTTATTCAATGGATGTTATGACTGTGGTACACTCAAACGTCTACCCGTAATTGGAGATTATAAAGGGTGTTTCCTAGTTATTTCAAAAGTTGAGTGGGACCCTTGTTGCCACAAGATTGTATTCAGTCTACCTATTAAATTACGAAATGTGTCATGCCCACTTGAAGAGGGAGAATTCAAAAAATACGTGGTCGCGTTCAAATACATTACTCAGTAATCATTTGGTTTTGTAATTCTAACTCAGATTTCAAGAAACGATTTGTAGATTAATATGATCTCAACATGTGATTCAACCATATTATCAAATTGACACATATTGAGTTAAGGAATTTGAATATTGCTGTAATCTCCCGTATTTTTAAATATGTTATAAATGAAATTCAATTTTATTTATAATATTGATTTGTATTTTTTCGTAATTTAATTTCAAAATATTCAAATTATTAATTTGGGTCAAAAATTATTTTGATACAAATTATTTTATGAACCTTCATTTTATAATTTATTTCAATACAACTAAAGTTTAGTCCATTTCATTCATTTGGCCCATTAATTTTATGAGGCCCAAAATTTTTCTTTACCCTACAACATTCTCCCCTATAAATACCCCATTTATCCCCAAAATTTTCCCTCACAAAAAGGTTAGTCTTATTTTCTCCTTTGTTTTATTAATTTGTATAATTATAATTATTGATTTATGGGTTTTGATTTTATTGTTTGAAATTAATTTAATTAGTATCAAATTTTATTTTGATGATTAAATTTGATAATTTCAGATTTTATAAATTCCATAATTTTCAAATTTTGTAAATTTTATAACCTATGGTTTTTAATTATTGAAAATCATGATTTTACGGTTTTTTCGAACAATTGATTTAGGGCTTTTATAGTAATGATTTTTTGAAATTTTGGTGATTATAATTTTATAGTTTAAATTTTAATAAAAATCTTAATATGATTTACGGGCAGTTTTTGATTTTAACGAAGTTTTTTATACTTAAAATATTATCCTTGAGTTTGATTGATAAAATTAATTATGTTTAAAGTTAATTAAGCATAAATATAGGTTTTTATTAAAGTTTTAAGTGCGGGAAATAGTTTCTAAGTACTACTTTTGATATTTTATAAAGAGGGTTTATTCACCCATTAAAAAGGGAGATTATTAGGGGTTTTAAAATAATTTTCAGATTTTTATTAAAATTTAAACTTGCTGTAATTTCATGTATAAGAGTGTATTTTAAGGTTTTTATGAAGAAAATTTAAAGAACTATATATAAACCTTTAATTTTAACTATAGGAAAGGTTTTAAAGTGTTATTTGATTTGGATTTTGAAGGTTTTAAAAGTAAGTTAGTGTAGGGAATAATTTCAAGCGTTAATCCCCTTGCTTGAACCCCACTGTGATCATACACTAAAGTACGGTGGCGTCCAAAAGGGAAGAAGATAGAGCAAAAGAGTCGCCAACAAGTTTTAGGAACTTGTAAACCGTTCAGAGGGTGAAGGTTACACTCCTTAACGATCCAAGAGATCGCCAACTCCATAAAGGTCTTGAACCAAATAGAGTTCGGGGATGAAGGTACAAATCCAACCTAAAAGAGATTGAACCTGCCCTAATAATAGGCCTCTACTTTATTCTGATCGTATTCATGTGCGCTTTCTGACTAACATGCAATCAATAGGATTAACCCTAAACCTGTTTAATCTATGTTGGTTGAATTTAATGCACAAATAAACTATTATTGGCGATCACTTGAATTATAATCAAATTAACCCTAAACAAGATTAT